CTTGTTTACCGATTAATAAAATCAATGATGGTACAATTGATTGTCTTGGTGGTACTGATGAACAAAAGTTATGCCCACCTACACCTATAAATGAACAAAGAAGATTTTATTGTATGACTAGTCATTCTGCACGATGTGCCAAATATCTTCAATTATGTAATGGCCATGAAGATTGTTTATATGGAGATGATGAACAATTTTGTCAAAAAAATCGATCTATGTCAATGTATACTGGTATTTGTCAAAATGAATATATATCATTAGCTAATGATGTTGAAAAATTCATATGTAGTATTTCAACGAGTGTATCAAAAGCTCCAATCAAATATTTCACTATTAATGGATTTCATGAATCATCTGAAAGTAAAGTAATTTATGAGAATGAACAAATGAATGTAATAATTTTAAATAATTCTCGTTGTCATCGTGGTCTTGATTTACGTGTTTGGTTAAATAAATTATCTAATCGATTCACAAGTACATGTCTTTGTCCACCAACTTATTATGGAAGTCAATGTCAATTTCAAAATCAACGTCTTAGTTTAGCTATTGCATTTCGAGCTCCAGCTCAATTACGACAAATTCCTTATATTATCTTAATTTTACTTATTGATAATACAAATCAACGAATCATTCATTCATATGAACAATTTACTTATTTATCTATCCGCGATTGTAACATTAAATTCAATGTATATCTACTTTATTCAACTCGACCCAAACGAATGAATAGAACATATTCAATCCATATTGATATTTATGAAAAAATTTCTCTTCTATATTGGGGAAGTTTTTTGTATCCAGTAAAATTCTTATTCTTACCTGTTCATCGATTAGGATTTGTTTTAGATATTCCATTTACAAATGATTATCAAATTTGTTCAAATATAAAATGTCTCCATGGAAGATGTTTGAATTATCTAAATACAAAAGAAACATTTTGTCAATGTGAGAACGGATGGTCTGGTCAATATTGTAATATTCCACATCATTGTACTTGTTCTCCATCCAATTCATTATGTGTTGGTATATTAAATAATAATCGATCTATATGTATTTGCCGAGAAAATTATTTTGGTTCAAAATGTTATGTTCGAAATCGAATATGCGATAATAATGTTCCATGTGAAAATAATGGTTTATGTATTTCACATGATGATTTTACGTTGTCATCATCTAAACAAAAGTATTACTGCATTTGTCCGAAAGGTTTTAGTGGAAGTCGATGTCAAGTCAAGGATATGGAACTTAATCTAATATTTGATAAAGATATTCATTTATCACATTCAATTTTTATTCATTTTCTTAGAATCATTCCCATAAATGAATATATTCCTCGTATTCCAAAACCTTCACCTTCAAGATCAACAACTTTACAAACAATTTCTCAAGCAACTAATGCAATTCGAATTCATTGGTCACATCCATTTCATCTTACTTTCATTGAAACATTAGATAAAATCTATTATTTAACTGTTATTCAACCGATTCATAATTCTTCAACAATAGTGAAAAGAATTGATTCATCATTTCGTTGTCGATCAATCAATGAATTAGTTAATGAAACATTCTCTCAACTTCATGTTCTTCGCCAAATGAAATCTTATCATTTAATTTGTCAACAAAATTCTCCTACTTTACAATGTTTTCATGATGATATTCATCTTTGTCTATGTTATGATCATCAACATAAACGTTTAGCCAACTGTTTTCAATTTAATCATCACATGAAATTTGATTGTTTTGGTCAAAATCATTGTGAAAATGATGGACAATGTTTTCAAGACTCACCCGATTGTCCAAAACGAACAATTTGTGCATGTCGCTCATGTTATTATGGAAGTCGATGTCAATTTACAACAAGTGAATTTGGTTTATCACTCGATGCTATTTTAGCATATCATATTATTCCAAATGTGAATATTTTTCATCAAACATCAATTGTTAAATTAAGTTTCACTTTCACCATTCTATTTATGATTGTTGGATTAATCAATGGTATTCTATCATTCGTTACATTTAGAAGCAAAACTGTACTTGAAGTTGGATGTGGTATCTATTTGTTATGTTCATCTATGACTACAATATTAATAACGATTCTATTTGGAATGAAATATTTTATTTATCTTTCGACACAAATATCAACACCAGAAAATCGATCTTTTCTAAAATTTCAATGTTATTCATTTGATTTTCTTCTTCGAATTTGTCTCAATATGGATCAATGGTTAAATGCATGTGTTTCAATGGAAAGAGCATTTACAGTTATTCAAGATGTTCAATTTGTGAAGAAGAAAAGTAAACAATTAGCGAAAAAAGTAATTATCATTCTTTTCATATTAATTACTTTAACATCAATTCATGATCCAATTCATCGACGTTTATTTGAAGAACAAGATAATGATAATGAAAACGGGAAAAGAATCTGGTGTATTGTAAATTATTCTTCAAAATTACAAATCTATAATCGAATAGTGAATACATTTCTATTTTTTATTCCATTTTTGATTAATTTAATTTCATCAATTATTATAATAACTAAAACATCTCGTCGACAATCTCGTCTTAGAAAATATCGATCTTATAAAGTTATGCTGTACGAACAAATTCGTAATCATCAACATTTATTTGTTGCACCTGTCATTTTATTTGCTCTTGCATTACCACGTTTAATTCTTTCATATGCATCTAAATGTATGAATTCAAGCAAAGATTCCTGGATATTTCTTAGTGGATATTTCATCTCATTCATTCCACCAATGATTATCTTTTTTATTTTTGTGTTACCATCTAAATATTATAGAAACGAATACAAAAAAATACTTATGAAGCGGTCCAATATCATCTATCCTTTTCGTCGTCGATGACATTTTATTGATCTCTCTTTTTTTGTATATATACATATATTTGCTTTGCTTTGCTTAATAAAATTGATTGAATAACAACTTGATAGTGTGAATTTGAGTTATGTGTGCGTATGTATTACATAGCTAATGTTGGTGCTTGTGGCACTCTCAGCAGTGGATGCGGGTGTGGGTGTGTGAATAAAAAGAATAATCACACCCACAGCCATCCATCATTACTAAGAAATATTAATCACGGGTAATCACTATTTACTACTGCCAATCATATCTAATCAAATAATCAGCTGTTTTCCCCTTGCAGTAGATCCACCGGAAGTCAGATTGTTTGGTGGCTTTTTACAGTTTTGCTTAGCTATAGCCGCCATCGTATCGAGATCGTCAAGCCAGCTCGTGAGAGATTGAACAGCCTCTTCTAGCGATAGCAATGGTTGCTTCGTATAGCCTTTGATAAGTATTAGAACTTGGTTGGGCTCTTCATCGACGTCAAGAAATCGATCATAATCATCTTTGCTTGTTGTGCTTACTATCTATTATTCTGTCGATTTTGCAGCACTGGCACTCAAAAAGAGTTGGATGAAGAAGAAAATTTTTTATTTTGAGTAAGAGAACACAAAAAAGTTAATGTAAATAAATAACTAACACGAACATTCATATTTTCACACATAAAGAACTCTATCCATTGAAGAAAAGCAAATTTATGAAGAGAGAATGCATTCAACTTCTATTTGTCTACGAAGGAAACGTTGAAAGTCTTCAAAACTACCATTTATAACTGATAATGCTGAAGACCTTCATTGTATTCTTCGTAGACAAGAAGAAGATGGAAGCCTTCTCTCTTGATAAATTTGCTTTTCTTCAAAGATGGGTGTGGGTATTCTTTCCATTCATTAACCACACCCACACCCACACCCAAGATTTATATTTCAGTGGAAAACATTCGTTACAATTTCAAATTGAAGATGTTTTTATGACAGGTTATTCGTTATTGAAATTTCTAAATAAAAATTATTTTTTTTTTTTTCATATCGCGTATAGGTTGGACATGCTTTTTTGGTTTAATGACATCAAAAGAAATAATCAAACTTTATGTTGATCAAATGGATTCTGTTCATGGTTTTTGGTCAAGTGGATATCTTGTTCAAAATGGAAAAAGATCTGGTCATTGTAGAGAAAGCAGATGGTTACAATGTGATTTTATTACAATGATAATCGATTGTCAACTTCGATCAATTTATTTGAAAAATAAACGTAATTATTGGTCTCAAGATATTCCAATTAATACCCAATTATGTCCTCTACTATGGAAATTCATGTCAATTATTAAAGGATGTCGACTTCGTTTGATTAATAATTCATCATAGAATAATTTATGTACTATCATATGATACTCTCATTTTATTGCTCTTATGAAAGAAATTCATCAATAAATAAATCTTGAGGATGTGGATGTAGATGTGGATGTGGGTATAGCTATCATATTTACACTCACACCCATACCCTAGTTCTTTTTTTCAAAGTCATTATTTGATTTTAATAAAATATTTAAAAAAAGAATAATTAAATACCAATTATTTCCTCAGAACTTTTGTTTTAAAACATTTCTCAAAAATCGATGTAAATCGGACTTGATAAAACAAAAAAAAAACAATACTCATCCAATAGAATATCGAATAAATTATACAAATGAACGATTTGTAACTATTCGAAAATTTATTTGATCAGATTTTGGATCAACTCTTCATCAAATTACTTAAACATTTAGTAAAGTAGATTTTCTCATATTTCATTCATTTCTCTTTCAAAATCAAACTTTTAATTGGTATTGTACACAATTAATATTCTATTTAATGCGATATTAACCTCAAACAATAGGTGCATATACAAAAAATAATACTAGGGTGTGGATAAAGAAAAGACGGATCTCCAGTCACACCCTCACCCTCAACGATCTTTTCATAGTTTATATTGAATAAATAGGAAAGCGATCGTATTCTGAAGTTTTCGAAAATCATGCAGTCAACGGGCTTCTCTACTCAAGCTTCATTGTAATCTTTGATTTCTTATCTATGTTGACTAAGAATCTAGATATCAACAGTTAATATGACATTTATTTTCTTTTATTTTAGTTTAAAAAAAATGTTTGGCCTGTGTTTAGTATTTGTTGTGCTTAGCACGTTACATTTAACATTGGCAAATGATGATCCATCTCTCAATCAATTTCGCGGTCATATTTTAAAAAACAATGGAAAATATGAAATAGTTACATCATT